AGAACCTACCTACAAAGATTTCACCTAACAGATCTTCAGGGTATTACTGGTTAAAAAAGGGTATATTTATATTTATATATATATATATATATATATATATATATATATATATATATATATATATATATATTTTGAACAATAAAAATTATTAAAAATTAAAATCTTCAGACACACAGGGTTGTAGATTAATATTCTTTCATTTTTTTTTATTATTATTTCATTTATATTCCTCGACTAGTTTCGGCCAAAATGGCCATCATCGGGAGAAGAAATATTTCTGCTTGCTGGTAGCAATAAACTACAGAAATGAATGTCTTCATGGAGAAAATGAACTTTTGTCTGTAGTTTTCATTTGTTTTTTTATTTTTTTAACATGAATCTTTTAACATTCCTTGTGTTGGATATATGAAAGAGAGAATATCACTTTTGATTTTTCAAACAACTGATCACTCAATACAATGCCTGAGAGCCACTCAAGTTAGAGAATTACTGAACACGGTTGTAGGATAGATAACAGACATATATATGTGTGTGTGTGTGATAGAAATTTTTTTTTTTTTAGGGTGATTTCAATAATCATATCAAAGTCATTCATTGAGTTTAGAAGAATCTTCAACAGAATGCATAAAGCACTGGATTGCCATTTCATCCTATTTTGGGACTCATTAGCAGTGTGTATTCACTACCAAGAATCAAACCCAGGCAGTTATATGACGGAAACATCATACTCACTGGACCAACAGGCCTCCTCGGTGACAAAGAGATAAGTAACTATACTTGATATAGCGCCACTCTCACTAAATTCTGTGGTATGACTCATTCAAGTATACTTAATTGGACAGTGAAATATGTTACCTGTAAGTATTTGCACTCTGTCTCATCATATAAGAGAGAAAGAGAGTATGTGTGGATATAGGAATCAACAGTTCATGGTGACAGTTTCATGCTTATCATATTCCTGACTATCTCTATTCATATCTATCTGCAAGGTGCAATGGATAAATTGTTGTCTGAATTATGCAAAAATGCACTGACATCTCATTTTAATAGAGATATTTACCAAAATTATCTTGAAATACTAAAGAGTAAATTTATTTAATAAAATCACCACTGGCTTCAACCACAGCCACCAGACAACTTCAGAATCTCCTGCAACTTTTCTGGACGGTCTTCTTGTTTAAGTTGGTGAATGCTGCCCAAATCCTTGCCTTCAGTTCAACTTTGGTCTTACAAGGAGTTTCACTGGTCTCTCACTCAACTGTGCCCCACACATAATAATCAAGGGGGTTGTAGTCTGGGGAGTTAGGTGCACAGAATTAAGGGGTGATATAGTTGCAGAAATTGTCTGACAGCCATGACTGGGTTCTCCTGCTTGTGTGGCATGGTGCAGAGTCCTGTTTCCAGACAGGGTTTTCCAGCAGCCACTCTCTTGACCCAGGGCAGCACTATGTCTTCAAGGCACTTGATGTAGACCTCTGTGTTGAGTCTGAGGCCCCATATGAAGATGAATGGATACATAATGTTGCCATCACAAGTGATCACTCCAAACGTATTCATAATCACCATTAGACTCATCCAACTCTTTCTCAATCCTCTGCACTGTCCTCAGATTGATACCCAAACACTCTGAAATGTTCATATTGGAACTTCTGGCTTGAATACCAAGCAGTACAGCATGCCATTTCCAAATTACTGGTCGAGTGAATTGCATCATGGTGCTCTTTTTTCTCACAGATGGTGCCAAACTGAACCTAATATAGTGTGCAGTCAACAAAAATCAAAAACAAACAACACGTATGCATGAAATTAAAAATATAAAATGGCGACAATTTACCCATCGCACCCTGTATGTGTATTCATCTATAAGTCAATGCATATCTATCGATGTCTATTCATATCTATGTCAGTTTATATCTATCTATATCCATTCATATCTATTCATATCCATCCATCCATATCTATCTATCCATCTATGTCTGTTCATATCTCAATCGTCTCATATATCTATCTCTCTGTACATAAATACGGGTTTGCTTATTGACACTTCTGAAATTCAAGAGTCATAGTTCTATGAGAACTTTTTTTAAAAATATTACTCAAGTTTTTGTGACCCTGTTCTGTCCAGAAAAACAAAAACTGACAAAATAAAAAAAAAAATCCTGTCTGTCGAACATAAACCAACATTATGACAATAGGCACACACTACTTCTGTCATCCCCACACTCCCCCTCTCTCTCTTTTGCTATATATTTTCAAAGGGTGCAAAACGGTTAATGCAGAATGCTCGTCTAATTTGCTGTGACAATTAAAATCAGTGTTGAAAACAAAATGGCATGAGATGTAACGGAAATAGTTCTACTTTTTTTTTTAAAAAAACAAAAAAAAACAAGGCACCTGCTGACAATGCTGGCAAAATTGGAGGATGTTTTGAATGATCTGGGCTTTTGGCACATCGGCCACCTTCCCCACTCACCAGGTCTTGTTTCATTTAATTATTTCC